CTTCGGTAATGGTTTCTCAGATAAATTTTCAGTCAAGTTTTAAAAGTTTTGTCTACTGTTTTACATAAAAGTTCTCAGTGTCTCAACTTCCTTGAGAACTTCCTTGAAGCCCCCATTTTCCCAGTGAGATGCTACTCTGCCCTTTTGTTTGTTTTGGTAGTTGGTCTAATTCTAAGTTGTGCCTATTAACAATAAAGTAAAATATTCTGGTTAATTTTGGGCAAGTCGAAGTCATTATTTTTACTTAGTAAGTTGCCCAGAAACTGCAGGGATTATCTCTAACATTGCTTAGTCTTTTACTTTGCCATCACTCAACACTATAGAAAATAAGTTTTAGCCTCTGAAACAGTTGTAGTAGTGAATATAGTATATATGGTTAATTTCTGTAAGTTAAGAAGAGTAACTGATGATGGCCTTTGTTCAGTGTTGATTTCCTAACCGTTGTAACCTGGCAACTAGATTTTCTTCCCTCCCCCCCCCCTTTCTTTTTAATGCTTAGTTAGACTTTAACTGGAAGGCAGTAGAAACTGGAAGTGACAAATCACTTGAGTGCAGACCAGTATTTATTGTCAATTAAAATTCTAATGTTTAATTGTATTTTCTGTTTTAAAATCTAAAAGCTATGTTATTTGGGGTCTAGGTGGCTAATGATTTTCACGAAGTTTTTTTTTTGTGAGATCAGCTGTTTAGAAATCAGCCTTTTACTATTTTTTTAAAAAGCATTTTATTTAGTTATGCATATAAGGTGGGGGGGGTGTAGGCCAGAGGTGCTGAAAGGTGAGAGGATTCACCAGAGAGCGTGGGGAGCAGCAGGCAAGACAGGAGAGGTCTCCCGCACCATGTGGGTAGCTCCCTGACCGCCTGCGGGTGCTGTAGAGGCTGCAGATAGCTTCACAGTGCTGTGCTTAACCCCTTGCGCCACCAGGGAGGCTGGCACCAGATTGTGTTTTTTAATCTGAGTTCTTAAATTGAGAATTGTGTAGTGTATTTTGCTGTACAAAGTGTGTTGTAGTATGTGTTTTGAATTTTTTAAAATAGTACTAATTTAGGGCCTCCCTGGTGGCGCAATGGGTTAAGTCGCATTATCAGGCTATCAGCAGCCACTGCAGCACGTGTTCCAAACCAGCCAGGAAGCTGACCCACATGGCGCAGCAGACCTCTCCTGTCTCACCAACTGCTCCCCTCAGCAGTGTATTTCAGTGGATCTGCCTGTTTCACTCCCTACTCTGTCTCTGGTGAATCCTCTTATGTCCCCACACCTCTGGCCTACACCCCAGTTCTTGTATGCATCAATAAATAAAATTTAAAAAATACTACTAATTTAGTTCTTTAGATACCATACAACCCTAATTAGTATAAAGAGCTGTGCCAAATAGGACTGGAACCCAGGAATCCAGAGTTTTATTTTTTATACTTAACAAAAAGGGAGAATAAGTTTCCAAGTAACCATGTCTTTGTAGTTGTTTATTACCTAATCTTAACTAATCTTTTTGACTTATGGTAAATGGAGCCCTGAGACTCAAAACTTTGTGATGGAGATAAGGAGAGTTTTGTGGGTTTTTTTTTTTTTAAAGATTTATTTATGCATACAGAACTGGGGTACAGGCCAGGGGTATTGGGGGGGTGGGAGGATTCACCAGAGACAGAGTGGGGAGCAGAACAGGTGGATTGACTGAAATATACTGCTGAGGGGAGCAGTGACAATCAGGAGAGGTCTGCTGCTCCCTGTGGGTCAGCTTCCTGGCTGGGTATGGAACTCGTGCTGCAGTGACTGCAGATAGCTTCATAGGTTGTGTCTTAACCCCTCGTGCCACCAGGGATTCCCCCCCCTTCTATATTTTAGAGTGGGAATTGCCAGTTGAACTAGCAAAGGGTTCACAGACCTTAGTTCACCTCTTGGTTTCTTAGTTGTATTGGTGTGTTGTTTTGGGTTTTTTTTAAATGTTACACCAAAAGCAGTTCTCTTTATTAAGTGGTTTGGTACAAACAAGTATTTCATCTTAACAGCTCTGAATAATGAATACACATAAATTAAAAGGAAAATGTGTATGTATTTTTGGACACAGTGTAGTTTCTTGGACTTTGAAATCAGATTGGGACTTTCATCTGAACTCCTTGATGGTTTTTTTATCATAGCAATCACCAAAAGTCTGGTTTTTCGGAAATGACACTTAATGGAGAGGGCTGTAAGGCAATCTGCTTTTCAAACTGACCCACTTGGTAGCTTAAAAAAAGTTGAGTATAACGAAATTTCTTTCAAATTTAGAATATTATAACTTCCTCTTGGATGCACCTTGGCACATAGTTTGGGAATCAAGGCAAGCATGTGTGTTCAGATCAGTTTCTCAGAAAGTTTTGTGAAGTACAACTGAAACAGATCTGCAAATAATACATATATATGAGATTGTTTAAACATTTATAGGCAAGGCTTTTGATGATTTTATTTATTATTTATTTATTTTAAAAAGATTTGTGCATACAAGAGCTGGGGTACAGGCCAGAGATGCGGGGGTGGGGAGGTTTAAGAGGATTCACCAGAGACAGAGTGGGGAACAGAATAGGCAGATTGACCGAAGTACACTGCTATGGGGAGCAGCGTTGAGTCAGGAGAATTCTGTTGCGCCATGTAAGTTGCTCCCTGGCTGGCTGGGGATCGAACTTGTGCTTCAGAGGCTGCGGACAGCTTCATAGGTTGCATCTCAATGCAACCCCTTGCGCCACCAGGGAGGCCCCGCCCTCGATGATTTTATTTATTTATTTATTTATTTATGTTATTTTTTAAAAAAGATTGATTTATTTATACAAAAGCGGGGTACAGGCCAGATGCGCCGGAGGGTGAGAGGATTCACCAGAGATAGAGCAGGGACCAGAACAGGCAGACTGACAAAATACACTGCTGAGGGGAGCAGCGGGCGAGACAGGAGAGGTCTGCTTCACCCTGTGGGCTGGCCAGGATCCAACAAGCGCTGCAGAGGCTGCGGGCAGCTTCACAGCGCGGCGCTCAACCGCCTGCGCCACCAGGGGAGGCCCCTGTCTGGCCAGTTCTGCTCCCCGCTCTATCTCTGGTGAATCCTCTCACCCTTCCACAATTCTGGATTGTACCCCAACTCTTATATAAATAAAAATAAATCTTTAAAAAAAAAAACTCTAGTAAAAAGCTAGTTTTTTGATTTTCTATTGTTCTTTTAGAATTCAAAGCGATCTTTAATTCACACAAAAGCAAACTTCATTAAGAACTCATAATGGGAGTATTATTAATTACTTCTGAATAGCAAATGTGAGGTTGTTTATTAGTATCTTGCAAGTTTAAATATAAAGATGTTACCTTTCAAAGTACTAATAACCAGAGACTACTATGTATTGCCTGTTGATGCATTAAGAATAACATGTAGCTAGTAATGAATCTGATGATCTCTTTACCACAAAATCTTACTACACACTCACACACACGTATTTCTTGGGAAACAGTTTTATCTCACTTGAATGTAAGCTTAAGGGCAGGGGTTTTTCTCTTTTTGTTGACTGCTGTTTCCAACACAATTCTGACACCATGTTCAGCAATTACTTATTGAATAATGTATTGGCTTGGATACATGGTGGTGCTTGAAAATGAGGCTTGAAAATAACTGGATCTTTGGTCTTTGTATACTGCTCTATCATATGACACGTTAGCTTTATCTCATATGAGTTGAACAGTAGATTGATGGTGAGTAGTTGAAAGGTAAGTTAGTAAGAGCCATCTAGAAGTCAAATGCCTGATTTTCTTAAGTTTCACATTTGCTGGAAAAGAAGTAACACCAAATATATACCCTCAAAGTATATTTGACTTGTTTGTGAGCCCCTTATTTTGAGAATGTTTAGCTGATTCATTAGGTCTTGGTCACACTGATCTTAACTGTGGAAGTTTATCATGGATTCCTCTATAATTGAGCCTACTCTTCCCTCTCCCTTTAAAATCAAAATAAATTGACTTTCCTCTCAAAATTAAGCTTTTTCCCCATTTGTTTGGTTAATTTCTATGTGAAGCCATTAATTGAAGATAAACTCATTTTAAAATAATTTGTCTAATTATAGATTGTTAATTAGCATACCCTTGTGTTGCTCTTTCCTGAGAGTATTTTCAAATGGTCATTATTACCATTTTCTGTAGTACATTTGTCTGTATGCGTTGAGAACCTATTTTATGACCAAATGGTAATATCCTTGTTTTTACCAATGGTTAGAATAAGAATTCAAGTATTAAAAATGTCACACTTGTATATCATGAGCTTTTTTTATAAAGAAATTTCCAATCTGGCTGCATACCACCATGACAGAAAAATAGTAAAGATTTGTGAGGAAAACATCAAAATGATGTCAAAGTCTATAGGATGAACATATTTTATATATGTATGCATATCCATATATATCCCATGAGATTCATCTAAAGCATGTATTTTATTAAAATCCGATGTGTGGACTTTTTGTCTTGCTACATGATGGTTTGGTGTACCTGCTCATGGACATTCCTGAACTTTGGGGATTCTGAGAGAAAAAGAAGATGTTGGAGCTTTGACTATAAGTAGTGCTCCATATAGACAAGCCATATGTGGTGGAATTTTATTATATATGGAATTTCCTCACACATACACAAGAGTCCCAAAGTTCTAAAGGGATGATAGCTGTAATTAATATTGCTGTTTGACTATTCAGTTACAGAATAAACTAATTTTTTTTTAAAGATTTATTTATGCATTACAAGAACTGGGGTACAGGCCAGAGGTGCGTCCGGGGCCGGTAGGATTCACCAGAGACAGAGTGGGGGACAGAACAGGCAGACTGAAACACACTGCTGAGGGGAGCAGCGGGCGGGCGAGTCAGGAGAGGTCTGCTGTGCCATGGGGGTTGCTCCCTGACTGGCCAGGGATGGAACTCGTGCTGCAGTGGCTGCGGACAGCTTCATAGGCTGCGTTTCAATGTGCCTCCAGGGAGGCTGCACATTTTAATTTTTAAAACTTTTTTTTTTTTTTAAGATTTATTCATTTATTTATACAAGCACTGGGTACGGTCAGAAGCACGGGAGGGTGAGAAAACCCACCAGAGCCAGAGCGGGGAGCAGAACAGGCAGATTGATGAAATACACTGCTGAGGGGAGCAACGGGTGCGACAGGAGAGGTCTGCGCACCACGCGGGACTCTCGCCGGTGGCCGGGGATCGAACCAGCGCCGCAGAGGCTGTGTGCAGCCCAGCGCCCAACCTCTGTGCCACTAGGGGAGGCCCTAATTTTTACAACTTATTATAAATTCAAAAAAGAAAAAGATTTTTGGCTCCTGAGTCAACCCCTGATTTAGATCATTTAATTTTGCTTTTATTATCTGGAAAATTATTCTAGTACTGCTGTGACAAAGAAAGTACCAGGGTGGGTGAGACTTTTTTTTTTCCTCACAGTTCTGGAGAGTGTTGGTCTGGTATCAAGATGTTAGCCGGATTAGTTTCTTTTGAGGTCTCGTGTCCGTGCCTTGCAGATGCCATCTTCACCAGGGTCTTCCCTATGTAACTGTGTTGTGATTTCTCAGAGGACACCAGTAGTATCTGGTTGTAGCGCATTCTGAAGTTTCGTTTTAATTACCTCTAAAGACCCTCTCCAGAAATAGTCACATTTGGAGGTGATGTAGGTTAGGACTTCAACATGTATTTGGAAGGCGACTCAATTCAGTGATAAAATGCCAACTCTAAATTTGAGGAAAGGTTTTCCCCTGGTTATGATGTCCTTAATATGAACAGACTTTTGAGGAGCTTGTACACTTGGTTTTTGTTCAATCATCATCGTAATGACAGGCTCACCATCGTGTGTCCTCCATTGCGGCAGGCTCTCACATGCAACCTGTCTCTTACAAGGTGAGCAGTACTGTTAAAATCTCCACGTTAAATGTGACTATAAAAGCTTTTACCAGAGTGTATTGAAGTAGCTGTTTGTAAAAAGTAATGGGAGAAGAATCATGTCGCTAAGTTGTTTTTCATTTCTTAGGCCTCTTTTCAGATACTGAAGGTAGAATACGATAATGAGTCTCCATGTACATTACTCCGTTTCAACCATTATCTGTTGGAAACGGGTATTTTTGTCTCTGAAATCTGTCATTGAGTACACTTAGCTGCTCTTCTGTTACTTGACTGGGGCCTCCTCATCTTCCCTGTGCTAGTCTGTCCCGAAGTGGAGAGTGGAGTGGGGCATCTCCATTGACAAGAAATGTCCCTTTATACTTTGGAAATGGTGGAAGAATCAAGGCTGTTCTACATAAGCAGATCCTTAGAGGAAGGAATTGAAAAGATACAGTCTCAGCAGAGGACTTTTGCAAGGACGCATAATTCTCATCAGATCTGTAAATTGCAGGCCTTCGTGAGGAGTCCTTAGACTTACATGCTTTGAGGGCCAAGGCAGGCTTTGGGCACAGGCTGAATCCACAGTGTTGTAGAGTTGAAGGAAAATCCAAAGAACTGGGTTGTCTAAAGTACCCAGGCTTCAGTCTCAAATGTAACCGGTGTAAGGTAATTCTTACTTTATAGTTTATCTAGCTCCCTCCCCCACTTCCTCCCATGGATTTTCTTCTCCTGCCCACCTGTAACTTGCAGGTATTTCTCTTCACTAATGTTCTCCCTTTGCAAAGCAGCAGAGGCAGCTCTCGTCCCAAGCTCCACTGTGACTGCACAGGCCTCTCTTTTAGCAAACATGTCCCTTCTAGGGGCAGCTCTTTCTGCCTGCTTGTGTCTGTGCAAGTGTCCTCTACCCTCCTCTCCCCTTTTGTAATAAACCTGCCCCTTTGGATATAAACAAAAACAAAATTAAGTAATATCTCTAATCTATATACCTATAGTAAGTGTGTACTCCTTACCAAAGCAACAGTTTGAGATTTTAGAATGACAGTTGGACTATCATAGCCAGACTTTGTGAGCGGTGGTTTAGCAGTTTTCATTCTTGTCTGTCTTAATTGAATGGAAAAGATTGATTTTTTAAATAACTATTTCACAAATGGACTGGGTTGCTCCAGAGAAAGAAAATATTTCTCAAAACCATTTAGTATCATTTCTGAAAGTATTATGGTTATAATTCCTCTTTCCCATCCCAGATTTCAGCTCTTAGCAGGCATTGGTCAAATTGTGTATCTGGTCCCTTTTTCCATTTCTGAACTATAGGAAAGCAGACCCCAACCTCATATACTAGAGGTTTTATCTCATGTGGATTTTATTTTCATTAAAATATTTCACAGCTTACAAAACTAACAATTTCCATACCTAATGTGCCCATGATATGTGTGTCACCAGTTTTAGTAACCTTTCTTATCTTTAGTTTGTTTGAATCAAGATGTAGATCAGGTTTACAAATTATACTTAAATTCTAAATCCTCTCCTTTTCCTGCCATTAATTTAGGAAGGTGTCTGGATATGTGTTGTAACATCACTTGTTCTTCTTTGTTCTATTTCCTATAGACTGGAATTACATTTACTGTGGAGTGTAACATGTATCATCAGGAGGTATATATCTGGTTTTCTTTTCATGGTGCTATGAGTGATTATAATTTCAGCTACTTGGAGTCATTGTTAACTATTACATCCATAAATAGACAGTCACTGCCAAATCTGTTCAGTATAGGGGTTGCAAAATGGTGATTCTTTCTTCCTAGTGTCCCAGAGCTTAAATTGTAGAAAGACGTTTTCTTCATGAACTAGTTATACTCAGTTACGAAAAAAGGTTCATAAAGGGAAGAAAGGGAAAAACCATTTTTATTGCTAATTTGAAAAGAGCTGGGACTGTGGCATCTTTTGGTGATAAAGAATTATGGGTGTTTTTGTTTTTTAAATCCGTATAAGCTCAGTTTTTATGTTTATGTATTTCAGCCCATTTTTTTAAAAGATTGATTTATGTATGCAAGAACTGGGGTCTAGGCCAGAGGTTTGGGAGGGGGTGGGTAGAGGGTTCACCAGAGACAGTGGGGAGCAGAACAGGCAGATCTACTGAAATATACTGTTGAGGGGAGCAGCGGGTAAGACATGCTGAAATTGTCTTTGGCTAACGGGAAAGACCCTGACTATTGCATCCTGTTTTGATGGATTTCATTGTTTTCAGTATCTTCATTTGTTTGCACAAGATGCCCTAAGCTCAGCTCTGTTTCTCACCTCAACCCTGAGATCAGCTATTTTCTCTATAGGAATTCTGGTTCCTTTTAATAAGAGTAGTAGTTTGGTACTGGGGTGGATGAGGAAATTGCCCCCGTTGTGTTTTTACCACGTGGACGGAAAGATGAGGGCATCTCCATTGACAAGAAATGCCCCTTTATCACTAATGTCTCCATCCCAGAGCAGAGTGTCTGGCTTGGTGACCAAGAAGATGCTGAGGACTATTGTTACCTGCTGAAACTACCTCCACTACATCTGAAAGTACAGCTGGTTTGAGAAGGGCGACAGGTAGGGCACCTGTCATCCTACTTCAGGGACATCATATTAGTGGCATTGTCACAATGGGGGAATGGTGGACCCTGAGCAAGATTGCATGTTTCAGTGTGCTCAAGGTGACCAAGGCTGCCAGCACCAAAAAACAGTTGCAGAAGTTCTGAGACTGGACACCTACTCGTTCACTCACCCAAACCAAAAAAAAAAAAAAAATCGTTTTCCATCCACAAAGAAAGGAAAAAACCACTATCTGATTGCATCACTTGGAAGATCTATGAAGACAGTCATTTAAAGTTTAATTATTGGGGGCCTAGGAGTTAAGTCTCAGGGCTATCACCTGTGTGGCCTGAGTTCAATCCCCCAGCCAGGGAGCTACCCCACGAATGGGATAGCAGGCCTCTCCTCTCTCTCCTTCCATTCCCCTTAGCAGTTTATTTCAGGAGATCTGCCTGTTCTGCTCCCGACTCTGTCCCGGGTTAATCCTCTCACGGCCCCTTCCACCCCCACACACCCCCCTCTGGCCTACACCCAGTTCTACGCAGAACAAAAAATAGCCTTTTTTTTTTTTTTTTAAATGATTTATAAAAAGTTCTGATTACTGGGCCTCCCCTGGTGGCGCAGCGGTTGAGCGCTGGGCTGTGAGGCTGCGGGCAGCCTCTGCAGCGCTGGTTCGTTCCCCGGCTGCCGGCAAGGGTCCCACAAAAAAAAAAGCTCTGATTACTAAGTCAATAAATACTTTCAATTAGACTGCATGCTACCACGTGGAGAATAATCTTTTGGCAAGAAAATGAACTAGAAATAATGTGTGACCAGTTGCTACATAGTCATAAAACCCCTAAATTGTTTATTAGCTATATTTTATTTTATTATTTAAAAAAATTTTTTTTAAAAGATTTTATTTATTCATTTATACAAGCACTGGGTACAGTCAGAAGCGCGGGAGAACAGAACAGGCAGACTGACAAAATACACTGCTGGGGGGAGCAGCGGGCGGCAGGAGAAGTCCGCGCCATGTGGGACCCTCGCCAGTGACTGGGGATTGAACTGGCGCGCTGCAGAGGCTGCGGGCAGCTTCGCAGCCCAGTGCTCAACTGCTGCGCCACCAGGGGAGGCCCTATTAGCTATATTTTAGTGTTAAAAGTTGTGATTACATAGTTTGGAGATAATTTGGTTAGGTTTCTTCTTCAGGGGTATTTAAAAATTTTGTTTTGTTTTTAAATCTGTCAATAGATGCCTAGCGTTTGGTCATTTTTCTAATGCTTAGACTTTAGAAACTGCCATAAATAATTTTTGTTTAAGATTGATTTATTTTATTCATACAAGAGCTGGGATATAAGCCAGAGGTGCAAGGGGTGAGAGGATTCACCAGAGACAGAGTGGGGAGCAGAACAGGTAGATTGATTGAAATCCACTACTGAGGGGAACAGCGGGCGAGACAGGAGAGGTCTGCTGCGCCATGTGGGTAGCCCTTGGCTGGGGTCAAACTTGTACTGCAGTGGCTGCTGATAGCTTCATAGTGCTGAAACTTAACCCCTTGCACCACCAGGGAGGCCCAAGGTTACTATATTTCTTTTGGACATCAATTCCTAGAATTTTTATGCATATGAAAATGTTTAAGAAATATGTCTAAATATATTACAAAGATTTTATTACTTCTAAGAAAAGTTTATTTTTTCTTTTTTTTTTTTTTTTTTTTTTTTTTTTTTTTTTTTTTGTTTATACATGCACTGGGTACAGTCAGAAGCGCGGGAGGGTGAGAGAATTCACCAGAGCCAGAGCAGGGAGCAGAGCAGGCAGAAGGACCGAAGTACACTGCTGAGGGGAGCAGCGGGCGGCAGGAGAGGTCTGCGCGCCACGTGGGACCCTCCTCTGGTGGCCGGGGAGCAGCCGGGGATCGAACCGGCGCCGCAAAGGACACGGGCAGCTTCGCAACCCAGCGCTCAACCGCTGCGCCACCGGGGAGGCCCAGAAAAGTTTATTTTTTCTATCACTAGCTGTGAACCTTTGTCATTAGTTATTTTTTTTTTTTTTTAGAAGCATGTTTTATTTTTTATTTATTTATTTGTTTGTCTGTCTGTTTGTTTTTGTTTATACATGCACTGGGTACAGTCAGAAGCGCGGGAGGGTGAGAGAATTCACCAGAGCCAGAGCGGGGAGCAGAGCAGGCAGAAGGACCGAAGTACACTGCTGAGGGGAGCAGCGGGTGGCAGGAGAGGTCTGCGCGCCCTGTGGGACCCTCCTCCGGTGGCCGGGGAGCTGCCGGGGATCGAACCGGCGCCGCAGAGGCCGCGGGCAGCTTCGCAACCCAGCGCTCAACCACTGTGCCACCGGGGAGGCCCCTTTGTCATTAGTTATTACATAAATTGTGCTAAGTGCTGTTACCCATGGCATGACCATTTTATGTCCACAATTCATTCGTTTTTACAAACAGAATTTTCATGGTTTACATATTTGTCAATGAAAGTTGCATTGAGATGTAATTTAGCATCCAGAACATCTAATGTTTTTCAGAGAATAGTATAGGAGCTGTTTCTAATCACCTTTCATTTGAGTGACCTTATGTAAATAAGTTCTAAGTCTCCGAAGGGGGTTTTCAAAGATTTAATTTTTTTTATTTAAATATTTTATTTTATATAATTCTTACATCTTTTTTCATCTTTGCACAATGTATGCATTTTCGTTTTGGTTATATTCCCCATGCAATTGCACCTCCCCCCTTATTTTGACTCTAGTCCTTCCTTTCCCTGCCCCTCCCCCACCAAAGATTTATTTTTTTATTTTATGTATGCAAGAGCTGGGGTATAGACCAGAGGTACGGTGGGTGAGAGGATTCACCAGAGACAGATTGAGGAGCAGAACAGGTGGATTGACTGAAATACACTCTTAGGGGAGCAGCCGGCAAGACAGGAGAGGTCTGCTGCACCATGTGAATAGCTCCCTGGTGAGGATCAAACTCAGTGCTGCCTGCAGCAGCTGCGGACAGCTTCATAGTGCCTTTACAGCGCTGATGCTTAACCTCTTGTGCCACCAGGGAGGCTCCTCCAAAGGGGGCGCACTTAAAGGAATGGTAGTAGACAATGAGATTTTTAAGAAATACCTGCTATGTGTGCATCCTATTGTAATTTGTGCACCTTTTTTTTTTTTCCCTAACTCCTTTGTCTGTAAGGAGGACGAGGGATAAGATGGATGTTTTGACTTTAGTCCTGAGTTTTCTGTACTTTTGTTTTTTTTCTTTCAGCCTGTTCATTATGAATTCAACTTGGCATTTCGTTTGATCTTTCTGACTCACTTCATTGCATCAGTAGTTTTATTCCTAGCTCTCACTGGTATTTGACAAGTTCATTTCTGCATTTTTCTGATTCATATAAAGTACCCACTGTACTCTTTACTGGCTACCTTGCAGAATGCTTTCGTCCACCCGACTTTGCAAGGATTGGGCTGCTTTTTAGTTTTGGTACTGGGAGTTAGAGAATCTGAATATCTTACAATCATTGCAGACGAATGTCATAACCAGTATAGATATGCCCCAAATAGAAATAACACTCTTCCATATTCACATTGGACCTGAGTGGGTACCTTTCCTACAAAGAAAGATTTTTGAAGTAGGTCTTTTGGTAAACCACATTGGACACGTGTAGACAAAAGATGAGACTATAAAGTAGTTTAGTTCCTTTTTTCTAGTGTCATGATTTAAAATCCTAAAGTTTGTCAGGAAGATTTGTTTAACCGGGGGGATAAACTGTTGGTTTATGTACTCAGAAATAAGCTGCAGATAAGAATATTTTGGAGGGTGGATACTATCATTTCTCATACTTTTTTTTTTTTTTTTTTTTTTTTAAGATTTATTTATGCATACAAGAGCTGGGGTATAGGCCAGAGGCGTTGGGTGGGGAGGGTGAGAGGATTCACCTGCGACAGAGAAGGGAACAGAACAGGCAGACTGACTAAAACATTGCTGAGATGCAGGTGAGGTCTGCTATGCCATGTGGGTTGCTTCCTGGCTGGCGGGGATTGAACTCAAGCTGCAGTGGTTGTCGATAGCTTAATAACGCTGAGACTTTAATAAACCCTGTGCCACCAGGGAGGCCCTTAAATCCTTTCTATTATGAAAACAATACCATTGTCTTTTTTTTTTTAAATCGTGATTTTTTTTTTTTTTTAAAGATTTATTTACACAAGAGCTGGGGTACAGGTCAGAGGTGCGGGAAGGTGAGAGAATTCACCAGAGACAGAGCGGGGAGCAGAACAGGCAGACGGACAAAAGACACTGCTGAGGGGAGCAGCGGGCGAGGCAGGAGAGGTCTGCTGTGCCATGTGTGTTTTTCCCTGGGCGGCCGGGAATAGAACCCTCACTGAAGAGACTGCGGACGGCTTCACAGCTCTGTGCTCAACCCGCTGCACCACCGGGGGGCCCTCAATACCATTGTCTTTTAACTTAGAATTCACTTGTTAGAGTAAAAAATGTAATTTCCTTTTATAACTTAATAAAGTGCATCAAAATAATGTTTCAGCGGAGTAGAGAAATGTGCTGCTTACATTCTGAACTTTGGAGGCAATGTAAATACTCAGTTCATGAATTCCAGGTTAATTTTGTCTGAATTTCTCTCTTTATAGGCAGCCTGCTTCTGCAAAGTGGTACGATCGAAGGGACTATGTCTTCATTGAATTTTGTGTTGAAGACAGTAAAGATGTTAATGTAAATTTTGAAAAATCCAAACTTACATTCAGGTAAAGTACCATTTTATATCATTGGTTAAAAGATTATTTCCGCCAACTCAATTTTGGCATATATTTTTTCTGTTTTTGAAATTATTGTTGCTTACCTCTTTGAAGACGCTCACCTTTTTTTTTTTTTTTTTTTTTTTTAATGCAGTTGTCTTGGAGGAAGTGATAATTTTAAACATTTAAATGAAATTGATCTTTTTCACTGTATTGATCCAAATGTAAGTAATACTGATGCTTTAATCTTTATTTAAAATCATGAGAAAGTGGACACACTTTGTACTCTTTTTAATAAGCACTAACTCTGTTTTTCTTAACAGTAGAGGCCAGCAAGGTATATTTATATTTTGCAGTATTTTCCCCTTCTAACCACTTTATGCCATACTCTTTTTTTCTTGCTTTCACTGTTTGGATGTAAGGCAGTACTCTTGAGACCTGTCTTAATCTAAATTTACACTCATTATACTGTTTTATGTTACCTGATTACCATGTAATGGGAATGGGGGGTTTTTTTTTTGGCAGTTGTTTAGATAATGAATTTTTTAGCAACATGTCTAGGGGATGTTTCAGAAGTTAGAGAAACTAAAAGGGAAGAAATTGGGGAGGAGGAATGACAAGCTACTGTCTGTCCTGCAGTGATTACTGAAGAGATAAATGGTATGATAGTGCTTTTGCTTTTGTCTTTAGGATTCCAAGCATAAAAGAACGGACAGGTCAATTTTATGTTGTTTACGAAAAGGAGAATCTGGCCAGTCGTGGCCAAGGTTAACAAAAGAAAGGGCAAAGGTTGGTTTCTTTTTTTTTTTTTTTGAAAGTTTATTATATTTATCTTAAGTAATAAAATATACATTTGTTTGGTATAAGGAATATATGGTGTTTATGTTTCATAGCTACATAGTCTTAAATCTTTGTATATTCAGTGGTTTTTCTCTACTTCAAGGTTTACTGGGTTTTAATTAAAAATGACAGCTTCCCTGGTGGCCTAGGGGTTAAGTCACGGCTATCACCTCTATGGCCTGAGTTCGATCCCCAGCCAGAGAGCTAACCCACATATGGTGCGGCAGATCTCTCCTGTCATGCCTGTTGCTCCCTACTTAGTGTGTGGTGAATCCGCTCACCCCTGCCCCCGCACCTCTGGCCTGTACCCCAGTTCTCTACGAAAAATTAAAGACAAAAACAAACCAAAAAAACCCTGAAATGTCAAAATTAGGATCACTCTTTCAGTCTTTTGCATCAAGAAAGATTTTCCTTAGAAGCCTTTCTAAAGTACTCAGATATCACATGAAGATGTATTTTGGTGCCACTTAAAAATATCAAAATAGTTTTACCATTGGGATGCCTCCCCGGTGGTTGAGCGCTGGGTTGCGAAGCTGCCCGAAGCCTCTGCTGTGCCGGTTCGATCCCTGCCCACCGGAGGAGGGTCCCACATGGCGTGCAGACTTCTCCTGCCCCCCGCTGCTCCCCTCGCAGTGTATTTCGTCAGTCTGTCTGTTCTGTTCCCTGCTCTGGCTCTGGTGAATTCTCTCACCCTCCCGCGCTTCTGACACTGTACCCAGTGCTTATGTGAATAAATAAATCTTTTTTTTTTTTAAAAAAAAGTTTTACCAATGAATTCTTGTATTAAATATATTTGTTTCGTTTTACTAAAAGAATTTTTTTTTTTAAAGATTTATTTATTTATTTATACAATCACTGGGTACAATCAGAAGTGCGGGAGGATGAGAGAATTCACCAGAGCCAGAGCGGGGAGCAGAGCAGGCAGAAGGACCGAAGTACACTGCTGAGGGGAGCAGTGGGCAGCAGGAGAGGTCTGCGCGCCATGTGGGACCCTCCTCCGGTGGCTGGGGAGCAGCTGGGGATCGAACTGGTGCTGCAGAGGCTGCGGGCAGCTTCACAACCCAGCGCTCAACCACTGTGCCACCAGGGAGGCCCCATGAAAGAATGTTTGAGAAATATTACTGCATTTCATTCATGTCACTTTAATTTTTCTAGTCTATTTTCTGGGCTAATTCCATGCCTCACTGCTGAGTTTGAACACATAGTTCAAAAAATGTAGTCTTAAGGTGCATGCCAATGAGTACAAGTTAACATAGTCATGTTTTCATTGGTCTATAGCTTAATTGGCTTAGTGTGGACTTCAATAATTGGAAAGACTGGGAAGATGATTCAGATGAAGACATGTCTAATTTTGATCGCTTCTCTGAGGTAAGGTCTTTTAAATGCATTCTTCCACCTCCCTCCCAGTACATTTCTATGTAGTCAATTTAATTTAGTTTTAAAGATGCTAGTGGTTTATAAGACATGCATTATTTTGCTTTCAAGGTCATTTTTCAGTACAACCAAATAAGGTCTTAATGGTCATTTAATCCTGAAGTTTGATATTTTTTATGATTTTTTAAGAATCCATATTCCAAAGTTACGTAAAATAGCTAGTTTATTCCAGCAGTGGAACAGATTTTTTTGTGAGCATGAGTACAATTAATTGGCTTACGGAGCCAAGTAATATATATATATATATATCAGAAGAACCATGGTGAGATATGCACAATGACTGGTGTGTTAGGAATGTTTTAATTAGCAAAATCAAGGTAAGGATTTAAGTAATTCTGATTTTCCAAGATGGCACCCAGATATGTATTGCTATAGGGAAAAAGTAATTGATCACACTTTAGCTAAAAGAGAATATTCAGTTATAAGTTGAAGATACATTTAAATGATCTATTTCTCATTGTGATTTGAAACTGTAACTGGGCTTTGTATATATAACTTTGAAAAATAATAGTTAAAATGAGTAAGTTTCCAGTGTCCTGTAAGCAGCTGCTTATTTACCATGACTCTGGCAGGTTGATTTCAAAAGAGGAAAGGGAAGATACAGTATTCATATGAATCTCCTCATGACTGCTATTCCCTCCCTGTGGTAATTAGAGTCATACAGCTCACCACCTCAGTAATAACTACCATTAACTGCTGTCTTTGTTATTCTGTTTTACTTCCTGAGTAGTTCTTGGACATACTCAATTCTGTTTCTGTTGCCTTGTATCCTTTGTGCCTGGCATTGTGCTGGGCACCTCCATCATTTTTCCTGATCAAAGAAACTTAGCCAGGGCCTCCCTGATGGCACAGGTGGTTGAGTGCAGACTGTGAAGCTGTCCACAGCCTCTGCAATGCCGGTTCGATCTCTGCCGGCCTTGGAGCAACCCACATGGCGAGCAGACCTCTCCTGTCTCTCCTGCTGCTCCCCTCAGCAGTATATTTCATCAGCCTGCCTGTTCTGTTCCCCGCTCCGTCTCTGGTGAATCCTCTCACCATCCTGCGCATCTGGCCTGTACCTTGGTTATCGTATAAATAAAAAATAAATCTTTAAAAAAAAAAAAAAAAAAAAGGAACTTAGCCAGTGTAAAGAGTGTCATCAGAGACAGGGAAACTCTACCCACTACTAATCCAAGCTAGGTTGCCCACAATTTTTATACCAGTATTTGATTAATTTCCTTTTAGGGCCCCTTTTATTTTAAAGTCCAGGTAATCATATGTTTTCAAAGTCTTTGATTTCTGTTTACAAAGTCTTGCATTGTTATTAAGTAAAATTATCAATTTTAAAAAGTTACACATTGCAGAGAAGTTGTAAATGGGAGATAAGACCCTCTCCATCTGATAATAGTTGCTTGGTCTTTGTATTTTTACCTCTTTAAGTCATATAGCTTTCTGATCAGAAACAACTACGGATGGGAAATTAGTACTTGATGTAAGTACAAGTACGCACTATTGCTAGTTCTAGTGTATTGTGTGTAAACAAGGGTGCTCACAAATATAGAGATATTTGCCACAGTGAATCCCTTTTCTTTCAAGAATTATATTATTTTTTCTTTCTCATTTAATTGATGATTTTTGGCCTTTATTCCATATTCAAGCCCTTTGTACAAACTAATCATCTCAACGGACTTTATAAGGTCTTCACAATACATAAAACTATTATGAGAATACCATAATATAGATGCCACTTAAGATAATAAAACTTGACAGCAACAAACGAATCCCATTCTTTTCCTTAATCACCATAGGTAAGTGCTGTTCAGGTTTTGGTGTTTTATTTTCTGTATCACAGACATCTTGCTGGATTAATTTCAAATAACTTTTTGATGGCACAGCTTAGTCTTAATTTCCCTAAGAGTTTTCAGGAGTTTATGTAATTACCTGTAATCTTACCTTTCCCAGAAAGGAAGGTATTTAATGTTTATTTTGCTTTCTTCATTGATGGAAATAAATGAAAGGTTATTCTGGAGTGTGTAACCTAATAATTAGGGCTTAATTTAACATCATTTTCAAAATTAATTTTTATACTTCAAACAGATGATGAACAACATGGGTGGTGATGAGGATGTAGATTTACCAGAAGTAGATGGAGCAGATGATGTAAGTCTATAAATTATTTTCTCTGTTCACTTAAATAGTAAGAAAAAAAAATGTATGAACAGGTTGTTTTATATAGATTCAGGATTGCTTTTTTCGCCACTTGGTTTTTTGGTTGTTAATTGGTTTGTGTTTTGTTTTTTGTTCTGTTTTGTTTTTTCCTAAAAATGGTAAGAGATATTTAAAATATATTTTTGGAAGAATGGGTATCTACTAGGGAACTCTGGTTTCACATGTACCATTCTTACAGGCATCAAATATCAAAAGAATCATTGCGCAGACATCTCATGCCTTATTCAGTAATTTAGGGACTATTTTTGGCAAATTATACAAAGTACTTACTTGAAAATTCAACATCTAGGTTTAGAGTTCATTGTCTCTTGACAGTCTAATGGTCATTTTCATCTTCCATTGAAAACTAAGAGAACAGAGAAACCATTTATACCAAGACACCCAGTCTGATTGATAGGACGGGATTTAAAGAGCGGGTTCAATTTCTACCAAAAGATAAATTTCTTACAGAAAGATACTCAGCTGCACTTGTGGTTATCTTCTTAAGTAAACCTGTTCTTAAGTTCATGATTAAAATTCATAAACTCCATAAAACTACATCTCTACTACGTTAATCAAAAGTAGAATGCTTCAGGGCTTCCCCGGTGGTGCAGCGGTTGAGCACTGGGTTGCGAAGCTGCCCGCAGCCTCTGCAGCACCGGTTCGATCCCCGGCTGCTCTCCAGCCACCGGAGGAGGGTCCCACGTGGCGTGCAGACCTCTCCTGCCGCCCGCTGCTCCCCTCAGCAGTGTACTTCGGTCCTTCTGCCTGCTCTGCTCCCTGCTCTGTCTGGCTCTGGTGAATTCTCTCACCCTCCCATGCTTCTGTCTGTATCCAGTGCTTATATGTATGTATGTATGTATGTATGTATGTATAAATAAATAAACCATAAATGTTTTATAAAAAAGGTAGAATGCTTCAGTTTTTTAAGGCAAACTGTTAGCAGAGGATTGTTTGCTCAACTTGGTAACTTTTTTGATTTTTCTTTCTGCAGGATTCACAAGACAGTGATGATGAAAGTAAGTGTCTTTGTAAAAAGTATTTATACAGTGATGTTTTACAACAGAAATCAAAATCTCAAATGAGAGAACTTCTTTACAAGTATTGAAAGAAAAGCGATTTCTTTATGACCTCTAATAAATAGCCAAAGCAGAAATTGAAATGATTTGAGATACATATTTAAAAAACAGTTAATTTGCTAGGAATCTATTTAACTATTGTTGGTGCTTTTTCTTTTAAAACTTTGAAATTTGTCGATTATTCATTTCCTTGTACTTCATACTAACCTTTTCAAAATCCTTTCAGAAATGCCAGATCTGGAGTAAAGGAGTATTGTCATCACCGGAATTTAAGAAAGAAAAATAACTTCTCTGCAAGATTTCATGATTGAGAGAATTCCTGAGTTGATAGCTCTAAAGGCAGATGCTGTATTTGCCTCCTTTAACCCATTTTTCAACATGTTTGTTTTTTAAAAGGCTTCACTAAGGGTTGATATGTACCATTGTATGGGGCAATTTTAAGTCAGCTAAGGCAATAACCTTATGCATGAACATTTCCCAGATTTACATGACACTGTTGCGGTTCTAGGCAATTGGTACAGCAGTTGTGATAAAAAACATTTCGCCTAAGTCTCCTTTACTTCATAACATAGATAACTGACATGATGATAGGGAAGTTCAGGCTTAGGGAAAGATAACTAAATTTTAGATTTTAGAACATGGACTCAAAATGGCTGAAATAAATTGGGTGATACCATAAACTAATAACCCATTGTTCCTCTGATGTATCCTTCAGGATTGTTCCACTAAAGTTTTATTTTAAAAAATTTATTTCACATTCTTGTACTTAAGTGATCACTTGTCAGTGTTCCAGATGTATCTTAGCTAAAACTAGTGAATGCCCTAACTTAGATGGTTTTTGAAGCCTGTACATTTGGTATTGTTTGACCCTTAAACTTTTACATCTCTTAGCATGGAGGACGAAGAAAGGCTATATATCGTTGCTTGAGAGTCTGTACATTTAGACCAAATTTGTATTTGCACTGTCAGTATGGCAAATGAGTGGAAAAAAAATGTTAATACACTATTGGGTTTTTTATTTCTTTTTGATTCAGCTTGTATGAGGGCTGAAAAACCTCAATTTTTTGTTCATGACAGTGGGGACTTTTTTTTTAATGTCTACATTCTTTCTAATAAACTGTTGGAAGATTTCTTGGCTGTCCTTCTAAGTGTCTGGTTTACTGTAATTTCATGTATTACCATTTACTGGAATGGAGTTTATTTTTACTTGAGCAAGAATTTGGTAATCCTGTTTGCAGGGCGAAGAGGCTTGCTGTAATGTCACAAGAAACCTTTTAAAAGTGGATCTGTAATAAGAACATTGTAGATGCACTTTGCAGCAGTTGGAAAAGAAGTGTTGTGATTTGATTGAAATAAAACTGAATGTGTTGTCCTCCTCTAAATCTTGGAGCTTCTGCATCTTTGCAGTTTTTATTTCCTTTAGCTTCTGTGTATTTGTCATAGCATAGAAATACTTCATATTTCAGCACCTTTTAGAAATTAAGGACCTGTGTTCCAGTGGTGAGGATACATGATACATAAGATTAATCCCTCAAGTGATTACTGTGCTCAAGGAATCTTACAGGTGAGACAAGAGGAGACAAATATTGAACACACACTGGACAGATGGGAAGTACAATAATAATGCAAAGGGTATTGTGGGGACTTAAAAGGGAAAACTTTTCCCTTCCCCTGTTACGTTTATGATTGTTCAGAATGATTGTTAAAAACATTTTCTTTTTCTTTTTTTTTTTTTTTTTTTTAAGATTTATTTATTTATTTAGACAAGCACTGGGTACAGTCAGAAGTGCGGGAGGGTGAGAGAATTCACCAGAGCCAGAGCAGGGAGCAGCACAGGCAGACGGACGAAATACACTGCTGAGGGGAGCAGCGGGCGGCAGGAGAGGTCTGCGCCTCATGTGGGACCCTCGCCTGGCGGCCAGGGATCGAATCGGCGCTGCAGAGGCTGCAGGCAGCTTCGCAAGCCAGCACTCAACCGCTGCGCCACGGGGGAGGCCCTAAAAACATTTTCTTGAAGGGCCTCCCTGGTGGCGCAGTGGGTTGAGCACAGCGCTGTGAAGCTGTCTGTAGCCTCTGCAGCACGAGTTCGAGCCCCAGCCAGGGAGCTACCCACTTGGCACAGCAGACATTTGTTGCGCCCACTGCTCCCCTCAGCAGTGCATTTCACTCATTCTGCCTGTTCTGCTCCCCACTCTGTCTCTGAAGTCTCTCACCCATGCCTCTGGCCTGTACCCCAGTTCTTGTATAAATAAAAATCTTTTAAAAACATTTTTTTCTTGAAATGCTACAACTAGAAAAATCTTAGCCCTATTTTCCCGGGACCTTGGATGACATAACACTTGGCGTTCAACTCATGTTACAGGAGTATAATGTGACTTCTGGTTCTGTTAAGGGAATGCAGTTTCTTAACAACCTTAGATTTTTTTTCACTTGAGTGTATTTGATCTGTACTGTATTTTTGTGTTTTTTTTTAATTTTTTTTTTTTTTTTTTTTTAGAGGCATGTTTTATTTATTTATTTATTTGTTTGTTTGTTCGTTTGTTTTGTTTCTACATGCACTGGGTACAGTCAGAAGCGCGGGAGGGTGAGAGAATTCACCAGAGCCAGAGCGGGGAGCAGAGCAGGCAGAAGGACCAAAGTACACTGCTGAGGGGAGCAGCGGGCGGCAGGAGAGGTCTGCGCGCCATGTGGGACCCTCCTCTGGTGGCCGGGAGCAGCCGGGAATCGAACCAGCGCTGCAGAGGCTGCGGGCAGCTTCGCAACCCAGCGCTCAACCGCTGCGCCACCAGGGAGGCCCTTTTTTTTAATTATTTTAACTTAGTCTCCTTTCTCTGGAGCATGTCAGGTATCAGTATGACATAAATAGTGTAGTTCTTAGCTTCAAGGGTAAATTAAAAAATCCAAAAGCCTTTCAGTTTTTAGATTTGTTCTCTTGAAAAATCTGAAAGTTAAGGGATTCCTTGGCTCACTGTTAGTTGCTTAGCTATAGCATTAAGAAAGTACAGCTTGATGGATCTTTTTTTTAAGATTGATTTATGCATACCAAGAGCTGGGGTACAGGCCAGAGATGGGTGATGAGAGGATTCACCAGAGACTGAGTGGGGAACAGAACAGGGACACTGAAATACGCTGCTGAGGGGAGCAGTGGGTGAGACAGGAGAGGTCTGCTGTGCCATGTGGGTTGCTCCCTGGCTGGCCGGGGATCGAACTTGTGCTGCAGAGGCTGTGGATAGCTTCAGTGTGGTGCTTAACCCCTTGCACCACCAGGGAGGCCCCCAAGATTTCATTAGTGTTTATCGGGTAACCAAGCCTTGAACATGGTATCTGATTTTTTTTTTTTTTTTTTTTTTTTTTTTGTGGGACCCTCTCCGTTGGCCAAGGCACGAACCGGCACTGCAGAGGCTGGGGGCAGCCTCGCAACCCAGCGCTCAACTGCTGCAACACCAGGGGAGGTCCCGGTATCTGATCTTTCTAGCCAGTATTTCCAACCAAAAGATGAACAATCAACATGCCAAAACTTAAGAACTATTTGTTACTGTATCTCAGTTCTGAAGTATAGTTATTATTGCTTTAAAAATAGTTACTGGAAAGAGGAGCATTTGGGTGAGTTTTTGAGTGGGAAATAACATCTAATAGTTGGTCTATTTTGATAAGTGATGATAAAGGTGCTATATTCAGCATTTTAACTGGTTACCTCCAAGGAGGGGGAAAGGTGATTAATTTACAATAGCTTGCGGCACCTCTGATCTACACCCCAGTTCTTGGGTGCATAAATAAATCTTTACAAAATATATTAAAAAATAGATGACATTTGTTCAGAAAAAACCATTAAGACCTATCAACACAAACTAAAATTACTTCATTTTAAGCTATTATAAAGTTTAGCAAGTTATCTGATCATGAAGATTGAAGGTTGCTGAGGCAAACGACAACAAAGGAGTTGGAAAAATGAAAAGATCACAGTTTGAATACAATGAGGAAATAGCTCTATACCTCCAGCTCAATAATATTAAAAGCATTTAGCATCATTGCTAAAATAAAAGCATTTAGGGCCTCCCTGGTAGCGCAGCGATTGAGGGCTGGGTTGCGAAGCTGCCCGCAGCCTCTGCAGCTCCGGTTTGATCCCCGGCCACGGGGTGAGGGTCTCACAAGGCGCGCAGCCCTCTCCTGCCACCCACTGCTCCCCTCAGCAGTGTACTTCAGTCCTTCTGCCTGCTCTGCTCTCCGCTCTGGCTCTGGTGAATTCTCTCGCCCTCCCGCGCTTCTGACTGTACCCAGTGCTTGTATAAATAAATAAATAAATCTAAAAAAAAAAAAGACAAAAAATCAATTAAAAAAATAAAAGCATTTAATTAAAGCATTTAATGTCCAAGATAAAAAATAACTTGATAATATGCTAAGAGGACAAAGGTGATGCATTTCAAAAAGTGATAGGCTTCAGTTAGCTGGAAAATTTATGTGAAAATCTGTTTTTATACTTGGATTATGTGTCAGTATAAATCTGATTGGTCAAAGTTCTGGCCAAGACCAAAATTGATGACAGAAAACATTCTCAAGTGAGAGTCAATCTTGCTGCAAAGTGTGGAGGGGTTGGAGTTCAGAGCTTGGTGTTTCAGGCACGAAACTATTGAGGCCATAGATAGGAAATAATGGACTGACAAATTATGGTTTGAGGCTAAAAGAGTATTTTGGTTCCATTTTTCTTTTTTTTTTTTTTTAAAGGAACTGATCCTAGAAAATCATGTAAAATCCAAAAAAAAATTGCCTTTGATTAGTTTTCTGAGGGCATTGCACCAAACAGACTCTATTTGACAAATGCTTGAGGTGAATAAATTGGATTGGATAGGGTCCTTTATTTCTGAACTTTATTGGGAAATATCTATAGTTCACATAGAACATTATATAGGTTGTACCTGATTTTATATATGTATATTTTGGGAAATGTTATTAAAGTAGGGTTAGTTAATACATCAGCAGAGTTACAATTTCCTGTGTGGTGAGAACTTCAAGGTAGACTCTTACTAACTTTCAAACATAGAATTCAGTAATACTAACCTGAGTCACCATGCTATACATTATGTCTCCAGAGCTTAAAACTGGAAGTTTGTGCCCTTTGACCAACATCTCCCCATTTCCTCCACCCTACAACTGGCAACCACCATTCTACTGCTTCCATGGGGGCGCTTATATATGTACATATGTATTTTCTGAAATGATTTTAGGCACAGAAGACCAGAGTCTCAGTCTTTTGATGGCTGCCTTCTTCATGGCAGCCAGGACTTTGCTCAGTCCTCTTGTTATAGGACAGGGAGAGGGGTAGCCCAAGGGGACCACCCTGTTACACTCTCTCTTCTTGGCATGAAAGTGTGTCCCACCCTTTGATGAACCTAAGGGACACTATTGGAGACCTTGAACAACCAGCTCCATGGACAAAGCTGCACACCTCTCTGATCATATCCCACATGAACTTTGTGTGTTTGGTGAGGTAACAGCAGCTGCAGCTGTGTCTCAGCTGCTCGTGTCCTTGGGTCACCAAGTCTGCGGCCTTGAGCTAGTACAGAGCTATGGCTGCTGCTCTTGAGTGGCTGTTGTGGCAAAAGCCCAGGTCAGCTTTCTCAGATTCCAGATATAAGTGAGGTCATAGTATTTGCTTTTATCTGACTTCTTTCACTACAGTGCCCTCAAGCTTCACCCATGTTGTTTTAAGTGACAGGATTTCTTTTTTTTAATAAGGTTTATTTATTTGGGCTTCCTTGGTGGCACAAGAAGGTAAGTTGCAGCACTATGAAGCTACCCGCAGCCTCTGCAGCACAAGTTTGATCCCCAGCCAGGGAGCTACCCACATATCGCAGCAGACCTCTCCTGTCTGGCCCTCAACAATGGATTTCGGTATTTCTGCCTGTTCTGTTACCCACTCCTCTCACCTCCCACACCTCTGGCCTACACCCCCAGTTCCTATACGCAATAAATAATTCTTTAAAACAAAAAAAAAGCCTGTTCATTCTATGGCTTTCCATACTGGAGAAAGGCTTCCATACACCTACCTCTGCCTACTTTCCACTCCTGTCAGATTTTCCTCCTGCTTCTCATTCAAAATTCATCTCTTTACTACCCTCTGTTTTCCTTCCTCA